GAAATCGTAAACTTACCAAAAAATATATTTTTTTTTTATAATAACGCTGTGAATATTTAAAAGCCATTATTCGGTTAAATTTTTTGAATAGGATTGTTATTGGTGCTTATTAATGTGTAAATTTCATATAATCAGCTTCATTTTATTAATATTTAACGAAATTTTCAGATAACCGCGCCACCTAACCCCGAATGTACTTTTGAAATATTTATTAATTTTTTATAAAAATTGTTAATATAAATCAAAAAAATTTTTTTGTTAATAACAAATGTATAGAGCTCAAAACTTAATATTTGAGCTCTTCTAAAATTAATTTTTTAAAGAGATATCACAAAAAAATGAAGAGGTTAAAAAATTACTTTGGAGTGTCAAAATCAGTTATTTTAATCTATAAGTTTTGTATAAACTTACAGTTCATCAGGTACTTTAATCAGAATAAAGAGAAAAATTAATGTAACTTAACACTTTTGAATAAACTCAAGTGCGCCAAGCAACCCCTGCGCCAAATAGCCCCGGTCTCCCCTATATAAAAATTCTTCAATATAGAAAATCGTTTTGATGAAAATTCTGCAAAATACTAATTCGAACAAATAGTTCTCTAACTAGAAAAGGTACCCTAAGTAGGTGCTGGTTGGAAACAGCGTAACAAACTTGTAGGGCATTAGTAAGTTTTCTTTTTCAGCGCCACATAAGAAATAGGGAATTCTGGTCAGTGCCCCATCAGCGCCACATTTCAATTTGTCCTACGGATTTTTATATAAAAATTAGTTTAGAAAATATTGTCCAGGAAAATAAACTTTGACAGGAGAAAATAATTTGGTCTCTCTCTTTCTCTCTCTCTCTCTCTCTCTCTTTGTGTTTCCAAGAGTTGAAAAACGTGCGACTCGTGCGATACTCGTATAAAGAAAATAAGAGAAAATGTTCCAATTTGGTAAATGGCAAAAAAGAGGCAACTTTTTTCTATACCACACAAGATCCTTTACTATTTTCTTCATTCCCTCAAACTGCTGCACTTCTTATTTCTTTATCTTCTTCGTCTGTCACAGTTTCATCTTTCTCTCTTCTTTTTCTTTATTTTCTAGAGCAGTAGAGATTTATCTGATCTAGAATAATAAGAGGAAGAAGAAGAAGAAGATGATTTTCGACTTTGAGCAAAACTTGCGATATCAAAACACGTTTATATATTTCTCTTTTGAAAACTTCACTTTTGAATAAGAGTGACGAGAGTTGAATATATTATATATACATGAATACAAATTAGTTGTCCATTTTAATGTGAAAAATATAAAGATGAATCTTTTCCATGAGATTGACGCCAAGATTCTTTCCAAAAATTAGTTTTCCCTTTTTTTGAGAGTAAAAAAAAAAAAAAAAAAAAAAAGAGAATGAAAACATGGATGATAAAGGAATAGGAATAAATCATCCTTTATATATAACTTTTTCGAAAGTTTTATCGTAACTCATCGCATCAGTACTGTAGTCTTCATCTCTTGTTATTTCGTGTATTCCTGACAAAAAATATCTTTAGTTTGCACAATATATAAGGGGAATATAGTCATGAGTGGACCACGTTTTGTTTTTCGTGTATAACTTTTTTTTTTTTTTTGGAGTAAATAATTAGCTAACTTCAATAGATGATTGGATAGGTAGTGAAAAAATTATTTGGCTCAATTAAATTATTTCTTAGTTTAAAAAATTTATTAAAATAAACCAAACGTTTACTTAGATCGAATAAATATTTATTTGAATTCAAATATTTAATTTTAATCTTATAGTATACTGTGAAGAAAAAAGTGTCACATTGATAACGACTATTCCTCCTAATTAAAATATTTTCGAATAATGGATATAATTATAATAATCTCTATTTGGATGTAACAAATTTCGGTAATAACAAAAAAGAATGATTTTAAAAAATAAAATTTGGAATCTATTCATGTGTCCCCGATAGTACAGATTTTCTCTAATAAAAGTTTTCATTCAACTGCTGAATGGGATAAATCGAAAATTAATTTCCAGACAATTGTGATATTGGTGAATCCCATTATTGACAATTCGTTGGTACGGATAATAATAGGAGCTTTGTCTTTACACGATTTCCGTTTGCATTCGCTATTTCATGCCTCATTGAGTCTTCAATTAAAATTTTCTTAGAAGTTCTGATATTGAAAATATCGCGTTTATTTGTAAATTAAAAATATTTTACAAATGTTTTTTTGAAATTTTAATTTAGTTTTATTTTGTATTTTTAAAAACCGCCTATATTCGGTTATAATAATAATAATGTTATTAATAATAATAATAATATAATTAACTATGTTATAATAATTTATATATACATATAATTATATGAATATATAATAACACAGGATTGCAAAATTTTTGTCCGCTGAACACGATCCCGAGTTCCACAATTGCATAGCACGTCAGGATTTTGAGAAAAAATTTTGAAAACCCCTAAAAATACGTTTTTTTGAGTATTTATCCCCAATTTTTTCAAAATTCTGACGTGATAGGTAATTTTGGGACCCGGGATCGTGTTTAGCGGACAAAAATACATCGAAAACGACTCCGATGTCAAAAATAACTAAAAAATTTTCTGGGGTCTCTTACCCCCCACTTTTTTCAAAATATACTCTTTTTTTTGGTCTTGCGCATATGGCTCTTAACCTTTACTTGACACACTTTTTCTGAGTATCATACTTGACACATTGGGGTTTTTTGTACCCCATCGACAAAAATCATCATGAAAAATAAAATATTAAATATATCTACTTCAATTTTTTTTTTACATATTCTTGAGAGGCATCTTCTGAAAACTATATAAGTTATATAGTAGAATATTTAAAGTGAGTATTTTTAAAAAATTGGAAAACGTGAGGTATTTCGAGAAAAATTGAAAAGAATGGAAAAACGTGGGGTATTTTGTACCCCAGTGTGTCAAACAAAGGTTAAAGTGTTTTTGAGGGTTTTCAAATTTTTTTTTTCTCTTTAACCATAGGTCCTAGAGATTTCCGTGAGGTCTTAAATTAAAGATTTAATTGTACACTTTAAAACCCATATGCGCAAGACCAAAAAATAGAGCATTTTGAAAAAAGTGGGAGTAGAGACCCAAAAAAAAATTTTTTTTTGTTTTTTTTAATATGGGAGTGGTTTTCAATGTATTTTTGTTCGCTGAACTCGATTCCGGGTCCCAAAATCGTCTAGCACGTCAAAATTTTGAGAAAAGTGGGAGTAATGATAAAAAAACGTATTTTTTTGGGGTTTTCAAGATTTTTTCCTCAAAATCCTGTCTTGCTGGACAATTTTAGGACTCTGCGGACAAAAATACATTGCAAACCACTTTGATATCAAAAATAATAAAAACCATGCAAGCTTGTGTAATAATTATAATCATAATATTATAATATATAATAATAATAATAATTATACAAACATAATTATTGAAATATAATATTTTTTGTTGAATTTGTAAAATTATAGTTAACTTATCTTACAATTAGTTAAATTTGTTTGTTTGTTTATATACTGAAACTCGAAATTTTGAGAGGATTTAACGCGGCATTCAGTAGTTTGATAGAAAGACCATCTGTGTTGAATAGATTCGATTGTGGATATAAGTTTTGTATATATATATAGTCTAAACAGGAATTAACGTCCTGATGCTACGTGGAAGTAACTGAAACGAGAAAAGTTTCTCAGATTAATCCTTGTTTTGTCGACGGAAATGGAGTAAGAGCATCGTCAGCTGGTTTGCCGAGAGCCAATCAAAATACTTTTTGTGTTGGAAAAACTTGAGAAATATGTGGCTCTTTTCTATTAAAAACTTTTATATTATATTTGCAAAATTTTTATTAATTAAATTTAAATGAGAAATTCGTCAGTAATTTTCATTTATATGTATAAATTTATATTATTTATATTACACTTTAATCCTCTAGCTATATTATACAATTTCCTAATTCTCTAGCATTTTTTTGTAGTTTAAATTTTAGTTATATTATATTTTTAATTTATAGTTTTTACATAATTCGAAGCTCATAAATATTATATAGAAAATTGATTTGAATTTTCATTTCAAAAAAAATTTAATAAAATAAAATTTTCTTTTAGACGAATTTTTTTGATTTAGAAGAATAATTCCAATTTAAGCAAATTTTAATTTAGTAGAGTTCTTATCCAATGGAATTTTCAGTGTTTCAAATTTTTGAAATTGACCGAAATTTGATTTTTCTGAATTTTTATTTGCACGAATTCTTAAAACGACGATTTTTTATTTCACCAAAATTACAAATGGCCGAACAACTAAATTGACAGGAAAATTTTAACGTGATTTTTAAAATTAACCAATAAGAAATTATCCTGAAATTTGTCATTGGTGGAATTTTAAAATTCGAGCCCAAAACTTTTTTGTCACTTATGTTTGTTCGGTCAAAATGAAAAATCGGCGTTTTAAGAATTCGTGCAAATAAAAATTCGGACGAGTGAAGATTCGTTGAATTCAAAATTTTGGCATTTAAAAATTCGACTCAGTTAAAAATTTTGTTTAATTCATAATTTTACAAAATTAAAATTTGGTCAAATTAGAATTATTCTTTTAAATAAAAAAAAAATGGATAAAAAGAATTTGTGTAAGGTGAAAATTCTGTTTTTAAAAATTTGTTGACTTAAAATTTTGTTAAATAAAAATTCGGGTTAATTTAAGTTCGAAAAATGAAAATTCAGTAAATTTTTGTCTATTAAAATTGGGTCAAATGAAAATTCTAAATATGTCATTTTTAGTACAAAAATATTTTTAAAATCCGTTTATAAGTATTAAAAAAATTTGTGAAATTTGTATTATTGAATGTAAAAATATTAATTTAGCAATGACTAATATTTTTCCGAAAAGAAACAGATATGAAGACAAATAAAGCTATACTTAATTTTTATATTGCAAAATTGATTTTCAATCGATAAAAAAAAATGATAAAAATCATAATTTTTTATTTTTATTTCAGATAATCTCCAACAGTGCAATCAAAAATTTCCTACATCTTTTGATATTATTCTTATTGTGAGAATAATAGTCGACATGGAGCAAATGCTTCTTCAAGAACCTGGTTGGAAACTAGAACGAAAAGGCTCGGCTCTTCTCTTACGTAGAGACAGTTCTTATCTAAGAACAGCGAGGGTTTGTTTCCGTTGTGATGTTGAAGTTCGAGAATTTGAAAGAGACGAAGATTATTTTGACGTCGAACCGGAAGTAGCAGCTAGTCCTCTTGCAATGTGCGCAAGTTGTTTAGCAGCACTTTGTGTCACTGTCGTTCTTCCCTGGCTTCTAATTGGGGGTTAAAAGTAAAACGAAAAGAATAAGAAAATTTCAATGAAAATTGATAAAAAAAAAAAAAGAAGACAAAAAAAATATAGTCAAAATGGAAGAAAAAACGTCATTTCAGGGAAATGAAAGAAATTTTTAGGTACTAAACTTTTATTTAGCAGAATTTTTCTTTCAAAAAATTTCTATATTTACCCAAATTTGAATTTAGCAGAATTATCATTTATTAAAATTTTAAGTACTTGGAATTTTTAAATACTAAACTTTTCAATTAACCGAATGTTAATTTATCAAAATTTTTATTTGTATGAATTGTTATTTAATAGAATTCATTTTGTCCGAAATTGCAAATAACCGAAAAAAATAATCAACAATCATGATTTTCTTGATAATTTTTGATTGGTTAATTTTTAAATTCGCGCGCCAAAATTATTTTCTAGGTTATGTTTTTTCGGTGAATTGTAGTTTCGGACAAAATGCAATTTTGGCGTTTTAAGAATTCCATCAAATTACAATTTGTAAGAATAAAAAAAAATTGGTAAAATCAAGATTCGGGTAATATTTATTTAATAAATAAATAATAATAATAATAATAATAAATAAGTTTTTTATAAATCCCAATAAATAAATAAAATCGATTGTGAAACTTTCATGGAAAAAAAAATTCCTCATTAAAAAAAAAAAAGAGAGGAAAATATATCCCGAAATGACTAATTTCTATTTAAAAGACTAATTTTGAAACGTACATATGTTTCTAAAGGAAATCCTTTCCTGCAATAATTTATTGTCGTATGCTAGTCGTTTTGTATGAGTTTTTTTTTTTAAAGATATTGTATACCTGTATATGCTATTCGTATAAATTAAGTATTTGCTATTTGAATGTAAATCCAATTTTTTCCACGAACGAAAAACTCTCAGACCAATTATTATTTATAAAAACTTTGAAAAATAAAAAAAATAAGAGAGGAAAATAAAATTCGCTGTGTATATATATAAAAAACAACAACATTATTACATTACCGTGAAAAAGAAAGGAAAGTATTTGAAAATACTTGGCATAACTAGAGTTTTAATTCTCGTAAGATGGAAAATGTCTTGAAAAAATTATTGAACAATTTTTTATGTGAAATATTGTGTGTGATATTTGCGTTTTAAAAATGTTTTAAAACATTTTATTTTATTAATGTTTTAAATCATTTTATTAATATTAATGATAAAAAAAAATTATTTTACTATTATATCGAATCATTTAATTTTAGTTGTCTGCATTTAACATTATCGTAAACGATTAGAGGCCAAAGAAAAATGATTTTTTAATTAATATTATTTTATAAACTGATGTCGTTTTTTTTTCTTTGAAAATAATTCGCTTTGCATACACAAAGTGGGGGAATAACGCGTCGAAATTGGTGCGCATTCTTAGCGTCATTCCCCTTCTTTTTAGCGACCTTGAAAATAATTCGCGCTCTACACGAAGAGTGGGGCTTAGTGTGTGCTGATTGGTGCTCGCCCCACTTTTTAAAATTTAACGTTTACTGAAGGAAAATTAATTTTTTTAATAAACAATATCAAATTGCATTTTGTAAACAGAACAATTATAACTATAATATATTGCTGCCAAGTTTTATGCAAAATATATTCAATAATTTTTCATTTTAAAACAAGTTGAAATAAACATTCTAATTGGATATAATTTTTGGTAAAATATTATTAAAAATTATTTTAAAAATATTTGCGATATAAAAATGTTAATCGAAACTATATTTTTTTTTCTCTTTTAATCTAGTTTGATTTTGAACACAATTTAATTAGATTATAATTATCTGATAATAATAATTAATTTAATGAAAAAAATTTTTTAATTCCAAATTTCTGATATTAAATATTGAAATATTCTTATCAAAATATATACATATATACACTCAACGAGAAATTGAAACGAAATTATGAGAGTCAATAAAAGGTTTAATTCAACCCGTCATTTATAATGTTTATAATCTCTGTTTTTGTATTACAAATTAATGAAATGATTTTAATAGAATTACGTGAATATTGCGAATTAAATATGAGTGTATTTTCCATGTGACAATCAAAATTTCCATATATTTATATATAATGTAAATTCATTTTGTGTACATATTTATTATATAATTAATAATATTACGAATACAATATTTATTATTATTATTAACATAAACCGCTAAAATTTTGATAATAATAATAATGTATTGTAAAATTTATATGAACGTGTATATCTTCTAAATTTCCAAAAGGGCTTTCGACACATTATATAATATAATAATAATGGAATTTTTTATATTAAAAATTTTAAATCACTTTACTTTTAATGACAATATGATAAAATAAAAAAGTATACATGTGACGCTCCACGGGAAAAGGGACTTTATAGTAAAAAATTTTTAGGTTATGTTTGTAGTTTTGAAAGTGAAAATACAAAACGTTTAATTCTTCATTGCATACGAAAAATCTAATAACTATTTTTCATTTTATCTGATTAATTAGAAAATTTTTTTATCATAGTCAAACTATCAGTAAACATAACCTAAAATTTCTTTACAATAATGTCCTTTTTCTCGTGGATTGTCTCATATATATTTATCAATAAGATAAATAACTATTTATTTATGTTGAAAATAAAAATTTTATTTGTCATCAATAAAATAGATTATTTATCGGAAATAAAATTCTTTTATTTGAAACAAAATAAAAGTTTTATTTGAAATAAATAAATAAATGTGACTCGCGCTCTGAAGAATGGGAATATAAGAAGGAAAAAAATATTTTAAGTTTACGTTTATAAAGTTTGAAATAAAAATATACAATGAGGATCAACTTTTAATAAAAACGAAAATAAACATAACCTAAAAATTTTTTGCTTCTTATTTTTCATCTTTTTCGTCATATATGTATTTTCGAGATAAATATATTTTTTTCTCCGAGTGTACAGAATCTTATTTTCACAATAATTAAATTGAACTATTCAAGATTTATAAATTATTTCCTCCGTTAATAAAATAAAATTAATTTTAAAACGCATTTTTTTTTGCATATAAATATAAATAAAAAAAAATTATTAATTTTCAATTGTATAAGGTATAATTAAAAATATTTATGCATTTTATAATCTAGAAATTGTTTATAGTATAAAAAGAAATTGTGAGAAATAATTTAGTATTAAAATGCGAAATATATAAATAATGGACAAAATAATGTAAAATAATGAAAATTTTCATACATAATTGTTCATTTGCGTATTTAATACATATATATATGCCATGTAAATAATAATGTATGTTTATATTTTTAATAAAAAAAAACGAAAATCATAATTCTCTTTTTTTATTAGTTTAAGTATTTTACTTTTTTTTTGTAATTATGCATAATTTAAATTTTTTTGTAAATACAATTAATTATTTAATTTAATAAATAAATTGGATAAAAACGAGCATAATTTGAGTCACTGTTGATTTATGAGAATTCAATTTCCTGGTTAGCGTATAAATATATATATATATATGCGAACCGAATGAAATTCTGATTTATGCACTATACACACTTATAGATATATATATATACGTATGGGGCAAAATTTCTAAAATGATCCGGTTACAAATTTTTTTTTTCAAATAAGTATTTTTTAAATTAAAAATAATTTTTCCCTTTTTTCTTAAAATCGGCATCTTTTTTTTAATTTTAAAATTTTGTTTTTTTAAATTTTAAATGTTCACGCTTTTAGTAAAAATATGAAAGTATTCTATTTTTTGTTTTCGAGATATTAATTAATTAATTTATTACTAAAATTTAATAAAAAAAAGGAATATTTTACAAAAAAATAATGTAATTTTGAAACTTACGAACCGAAAACAGAGTTTCATAAGCTTTCGATTTGTAAGTTAAGAATTATGCTAACTTGATTTTTAAAAAAAGTCAATTTTAAGAAAAAGGGAAAAAAATATTTTTAATTTAAAAAAAGGGTTAAATTTTGAATTATTTGAACAAATTTTTAAACCATCCAAAAGAATAGGAAAAAGCTTTTCAAAAACATGAAGGTAAAATTTTTTTTTTTTTTTTACTTTTTAAAAATCCACTGTTCATACTTTACTAAAAAAATTTAACCTCCTCCGCTTACTACAGTTTTTCGTAAAATCTAACAATATACTTTGTGGTTAAAATATATACTCACTCAAAGGACTAAACTATGTGCAAGTTTCATCCAAATCTAAAAAAAAAAAAATTTTTTTCACTTGGATCGCTTCAGAAATTTTTCCCCATATCCATATAGTAAGGGTGTCAACCTTTATATGGTCTCTGATTACTGAAAGTGAATTTATAATAAACCAACTGAAATAGAATTAAATTTTCTTCATAGACATTTTACAGGATAAAATAAATGTAAAGGATGACACAATTTTTCTTCTATTATTTCATTTAACAAAATTTATTTTTGTCAAAAAAAAAATTTTATTTAAAATAATTTTTATTAAAATGAATTTTTTTTGAGAATTTTTATTTCACTTTATTTTTGGATAAATTAATTAAAAATTGTGATATTTAAAGACATTAAATATGTAAATTTTATTTAAATTTTACAATATAATTTTCATTGAAGTACCTACTTAAAAAAGAAATAAAATGGATTTATGGAAATTTTTTTTTAACCCTTACCTGGCACCATGGGTCCGGGAGACCCGAGCATTTTTTTCGAGCTTAAATTAATGAATACCAAAAAGGTACCATAGTTTATTATTTTTTGACTTTTTTTAATGGGACGCATGAATTCTAAAAATCATTAGTTAGAATTTTCATTTTATGGCATTTCATTTTTCATAATTATTTTTGAGTCGAATTTTTATTTGTTCGAATTAGTATTTTGCAGGATTTTCATCGAAACGATTTTCTATATTACACAATTTTTATATAACCGAAAATTCACTTCACAGAAATTTTATTTCTTCGAATTTTTATTTTCTCGAATTTTCATTTAATATAATATAGGCATTTTAAAGAATTTTTACTTAACCGAAAAATCATTTAACAGAATTTCTAATTGATAGAATTTTCATTTGTCCGAAATTGCAAATGGCCGAACAAACAATCGATTTCGGCGCAATATTTAAAATCAACCAATCAAAAATTATCAATAAAATTGTGATTGGTTGATTTTAAAAATCGCGCCGAAATCGATTGTTTGTTCGGCCATTTGAAATTTCGGACAAATGAAAATTCTATCAATTAGAGATTCTATGTTAAATGATTTTTCGGTTAAGTAAAAAATCGGTTATATGGAAATTATATCAAATAATAATTCCAACAAATGAAAATTCTTCGGAAAGAAAATTCAATGCAATTAAATTCTACCCAATAAAAATTCTTTAAAATGCCTATTATGTTAAATAAAAATTCGAGCAAATAAAAATTCAGTGAAGTGAATTTTAGGTTATATAAAAATTCTGTAATATAGAAAATAATTTTGATGAATATTCTGCAAAATACTAATTCGATCAAATAAAAATTCAGCTCAAAAGTAATTATAACAAAGGAAATTCCATAAAATGGAAATTCTAACTAATGATTTTTAAAACATAATCATGCGTCCCTTTTTAACAAACCCTTATTTTTCATTTTTAACTCCTTATGTCACCATAAAATTTTTTTTTTTTTTTTCGTATTTTCATTGGAAAGCTGAGATTTTTTCCAATTTTTCCAATCCAATTTTTTCCAATAAATATAAAAATGGGACAAAATTGGATTTGCAAGAAAATATTAAAAAAAGGACAGAAAAAATTATTTAAAAAAGAAAATTTATTTTTCCCAGGATAAAATAGAAAAAAAAATTATTTTCATCTATTGAATTTAATTTTCAATTGTAACATTAAATAATAATTTTTTGAAAGTGTCGACACCTAGAAATCAAACTATGAAATTCGAGTATAATGTCGGTAAAGCAGCGATCTCAATTCACAATGTTTGTCTCTTATCATGCCAGATTTTATAGTTCCAACTGTAAAATTGTTATCTTTTGATAAAACTTATTCTCAATTATTCCACGAGATGGCTAAAAGTTGCATTAACGTAAAATATTTTTGTATACGTATGAAATAATAATTCCAAGTTTAAATAAATGTAATAATTAATTTATAATTTAATTATTAATTTTTAATTTTTAATTTTTAATTTAATTCAATGTCATTTAATTTAATTTTTCCTCTCGATTATTGTTAATAGAAAATAATTGCTTAAATTATGAAACATACGATTTTTTTTTCTGTTACAGTTACCAGATTTGGACAATTTAGATGAAAAGGTGAGTGAAAATTTTCATTATCTTTGTATTGATTATTATTTTTTTTCTTTTCATTAAACAAAAATATATAGTAATTGATTTACTTTTTCCTTGCGAAAATTTTTAATTCATTTATTGTTTTGTTATAAATTTGTGAATTTAAAATTTGAACACAATTGAAAGTTGGTCTCCTTTTTTCTTTTGTTGACAATAATTTATTTACCTATACATATTGAGAAATCTGTTTTCAATAAAAAAAGAAAAAATGATTAACATATGTCGTTGAACTTCAAAGGACGGATTTAAAGTAAAGGTGTATAATAAGTCATTTATTATATGAAAAAATTCCAAGTTATTTTTGTTTTAAATTACAAATAATAAAGTTTATAATAATATTTTATATTATTTTTAAATTTATATTATAACTATATAAATTATAAACAAAATGAAATGAAATTACAATCAGAGAAAATATATATATTTGTCTCAGAGAGAAATAAATGTTTATTTTTTTTAAATAAATACTTATTTTTTGTAAATAAATTTTATTTGATTTAAATAAAAATGGTATTTGGCTCTGAGACAATTATACGTTTACTTAACTCAAATATATTATATTTGTTTTAAATATAGAAATTATTGGTTTAAATACAGTTTATTTGATGCAAATAAATATTTATTTGATAATAGTCAAGTAACCAATTATTTGAATAAAATTATTTTTTTTAATTTCTTTAAAAAATTATATTATATTATATTATATTATATTATATTATATTATATTATATTATATTATATTATATTATATTAGTTTAAATTTTTTTAAAATTAAACATCATAAAAAAATATTTTGCTAACATAATATTTTATGTCTATTATTTAACGTAATATAATTTAAAATATGAGTTTTTATTTTTTCTGTACTGTAGTAGACCACGTACTTTAAAATTTATTACCTCTTTTCGTTATTACGAAAAAGTAGGGGAAAAAAACTCATACACTAATGTTTATCATTTCAGACCTTGTGTGGTTCGTAAGATTAGCTTTTTTTAAAAAAAATCTTTAAACATATATAAGGACAAATGGAACTTCGAGGTTAAACTAATATCTTGTACTCTATTAAGATCAAGATGAACCTTGGAAGCTTGATCTTTTAGCTAAACTGAAAACTTAATTGATAACAATTAACGCGATTATCATAATGTTATAAAAATTAATAATAATAATAATAATAACACTAAAAATTTAAAATAATAATAATAATAATAATAATAATAATAATAATGTGTTATTATAATTGTAGGTATAATATTTGCAAATTGCAACAATTTTTTTTAATGTTTAAAAATGTATTATTTGCAAGTTGCAAATGTTTTTTTTTTTTAATGTTTAACCATTTTTGTGCATAGTCAACAAAATAATAATTTGATATGCCTTCTTTGCGTTTAATGTATGGTACAAAAGTAAAATTTAAAAATAAAATTGAAAGTAAAATTAAAAAAATGAAAATCAAAGTAAATTTTAATCCAAAAATTTAATATATTAAAAATTTGTAGGTATATTGATGAAATTGAGATATTTTGTTTGTGTTTTTTTTCTATCAAATATATACATTTGGAAAAAAAAAATTTATCAAAAAAAAGTTGATGGAATTAAAATATTTTATTAAAATTATATAAGTTGTAAAATTATTATTATTTGAAATATTTTATTTTTTCAATATCCTACGTTTAAAATTTTTTTTTTTTTTGATAAAAGTAGATATGTTTAATTTTTATAGTCAGTCGCGTATTTGTAATTTATATATATATATATATATATATATATATATAGCTGGAGACATACAGTCTACTTCAACAAGCATTCAAGTGAATTCAGTGCACGAACTTTGAATAATTTATACACAAAAATAGAGTTACATTGATAAGAATTTGATTAGATGTATAGTAATTTGCCACAAAGTTATCGGACAAATTGTTTTTAGAGTGAATCCATTTGCAAAAACGATGAGTAACTATCGTTTCATTGCATTTTTTAACAAAAAAAAAAAAAAAGAAAAAAGTTCATTTACATTGTTATTTATATGGTTTTCAGCGATTATTATTATTATTATTATTTTTTATTTTACAACTTTTAGAGTCGCTGATGACAAATTTGAGGTTAATTTTTTAAAATTCAAAATGGCGGATCCAATATGACAAATGAGAAAATTTTTTAAATCGTTTCTATTTGTTTTATAAATTTTCGGAGTTGTTGATTACGAATTTGAGATCAGATTGACAAAATTCAAAATGGCGGATTTTTTTTAAGTTCATCAGATTCGTTTGCAATACATTACTCAGAGATTTTCAATGTCGCTGATTGCAAATCTGATATTTAAATTCGTAATTAGTGACCCCGAAACCCCCCCACCCCTAGTAACGAGTTTCAAGCGAATCAAATCGGTTTTTTTAAAAAAAATTTCGCCCGCCATATTGGATCCGCCATTTTGAATTTTGATAAACTGACAATAATTAATTCGTAATCAGCGAATCCGGAAATCCCCCGAATTACAAGTTTCAAAGAATTTCAAACGATTTAAAAAAAATGGCCGCCATATTAGATCCACCATGCTGAATTTTGAAAAATTAATTAACTAAACGAAGTAAATCGTGAAAATTAATATTTGGAAAACAAGAAAATGTAGTGAAATAAAAATTTTATTATTTAAAAATATTTAACTGCATATGAGCGATTCCACGTGAAATTTATAGTTGAGATTTACGTAAATATATATATTTTTTCTTTTTATGGTCAAATTTTTGAGTAACGAATTTTCAAAATTTTGTTCAGTCAAAAGTAGACCTATAACCTATAATGATTTTTAAGTGAATTTGGATAATTTAAAAAATTCATCCGCCATATTGGATCCGCCATTTTGAATTTTTAAAAACCAACCAAGTACATGAAAATTATACTTTTATGTTCTGAAATAAGTTTGAAAAATCATAAATATTATTGTAAATAATTCTATAGATATGAACAAAAATTTTCTCTTTTTGAAACACATTGAATTTTCTTTATTTTATATTTATGTTGAAGAAAAAAAAATACATACGTATAGTTTGACTTGACATATATCGGATTTCTACAATATAAATTTCAATGCAAATTTCAAATGTTATGCAAATCTTGAAATCCGATTATTTTGATTAAAATTGCTATTATTGTCAACTTGATAGAAACATATTCTATGAATAAATTGTCATTATTTTTATTATTATTATTATTTTTATTATTATTTTTAATTTAATTTTTTTTTTAATTTTGCTTTAAATTCTTGTATTATACATATATAAAAAGAATGTTTATTAAATTAATTTTCATTATAAGAAAGAAACTAATAATAAATTAAGAATATTTAGAAAAATATTTTTTTTTTAAAGAATATTATTTTTTGAATAAAAATTTTTAAAGCATAATTTCATTGGAGTTGAGAGACATTTATTACAGAAATGTGGTAAGAATGTTGATTTTTAGACCATCAACTAAACATAAAATCGGAGAAATATACACACAATTTAAGTGCATTCTAAACAATAGTTAACCTATTTTGTAATTTTGTTTTGACCTATTAAAGTTGGTTCAGAATTAGAATGTATTTATATTATAATAAAAATTTTAAATATCCAAGTTTTATTATATAATAACAATCAAAATTATTATATATACATATATATTATTCAAACTTTATAAATATTTTTCTAGTTTAAATTATTAAAAAGAAATTTTTTTTTGCATTTTAATAAAAAGCGAAAAAAATTATTATTTATTAGGTACTAGTTCTTTTTTAAATAATTATGAAATTAAAATTAACCTTAACTATTGGTGGTCTCGAAGGTTAAAAAAAAATATTTAAAATGAGAAATAAAAAATTTTTTTTCTAAAAAATAAAATTTTTAATTTTGTAATTAAAGTTTTTGGACTTACAAGTGTATTATTTTAATAGCATTTCTAGTTCTACAAAATTGTATATATATAGAACACTTTTCATCAAAATAAAATGTTAAAAAAGTGGGATCTTTAATTTTTTTTTCTTTGTAAAACATTTTAATTAAATGTTTTAAAAATTGTTTAAAAATTTTTTGTTTTTTTTGTTTTTTCTTATAGACAATAATTATTTCTAATAATTCATGCGCCTCTGGCTTCTGTCTCGGTTATGCATGTGCTCTAGATACAACATTGTATAACATCTTAAAATAACTTTAAAATATATTTCTCGTGATATTCGATTAACTTTAACAAATTTAAGAGAATTTAGTCATTTTTTATGCATTATTTTTGATTATATTAGAATTTTACTAATTTTCCTTTATTATAAATACATATAAATGTGCAAACAAAAATATGAAATCTACTGGAGTTTCTCGAGATTAAAAAAAAAAAAAAAAAAAATTCAATGTATATAGACAACTTTATAAATATGTATTTTGTAATGCATCTGGTGTTTTTATACGAGTGCTAAAAAAACACTCTTAAATTTGTTCGAGTAAAGTATACAATCTTTCAAAATTTTTACCTCATGTTTACTTTTCTAGAATATTCTATTTTTGAAAAATTTCAATTTTTACTTAAAATTTTTTTCTTTAATTAAAAAATGAATTGTTTTTATTTAAAATTAAAATTAAATTATTTTTATGAAAATTTTCTATTTATGGTGCAAACTAACGGTTTTATAATAGGCTTTTAATATAACTTCAAAAATCTCTATAAAAATATCATTTGCTTTGAACTGGTCATACCGGTTTTTTAATTTTAGATAAAATTACAGATACATAATATTTTTAAAGAAGAGGAGAATTATCAAAAATGATTCTCTCGTTTTTTTTTTTTTTTTTTTGAGAAAAAAAAATGAAAAAATTGCAACACCAGTTCACTGAAAAATGAAATTTATTTTTTAAGTCGTGTAGAAATATCCGTTTCACCAAAATATATATATTACATATGTTTCTCTTTAGATAAAAATCAAGTAATGTTTGTGT